GAGTCACTGACTTTCAGGTCAGAATTTGTATTTCAAGACAGAATTTTTATCAACCAGATACGCATATACTGTAGTGACAGAAGACTATTATTTATCTATTTGATATTGGATAGTCCTTTGAGATTAAACATGTCAGTTAGGAGGGGTATCAAGAAACAGTTGCTCGCAAAGTGTCATTGATATTACAGCAGTCCCGTATGCAGCAACTGGGAAGGAAGAAACCTAAAGCGGAAACAGGATCAGTTTCATTGCCCTTGTGCCAAGGCCAGACAGGAGATCAAGAAGACAGAGGCAGATGCATAAAAAGGGATCCCAAAATGATTGTATCATAAGTTAAACAAAATTCCAGGCCAGATGTACCTACATTTACGAGAAAAAGCAGTAGGGGTAGATTATAGCAAGGTGAGGAAAAGTGGTCTTTATGTCCTCCAGCAGCCTAAGCCTATAGCAACATAGAAAACCAATGTAAAGAAGACTCAAGCAAAAGATTCTTGCATATTGTCCTAATTCTAATCTTGCAATTGAAAATGATGGTTAAACTAAAATTCAAGCAATGTGGATAAAGAATAACTAGAATTCGGAATAAAGAAAGGTGTATTTGACGTCAATCAAATTACAACTGGTTTATAATTGAATAAAGTAGAAAAATATTTTGTAAACACTGACTCATCATGACATATCTTATGGGGCGGTTCTTTAGTTAAGCTGAGCTTATAAACCTTCTATGTTCTACTTTGCAGTAAAACAAAAGGGTAAAAAGAGATACTTTCATCTGAGATACCTATTGAAAAGACAAAGTGAGAAACTGAAGGCATAATAAGATAAAAAAAATTAATAAATCAAAACAAAAGCATTGATTTTCAGTGACCAGAATTGGGAAGACATCCAGTATATTCTTTTTCTGCATGTATAACCACAGTTTATGTTTAAAAAAACACTTTACTTCAAGATTTTCTTGACAGCAAAATGGCAAGTCCATCAGCTACAATCGCAACATATCAAATATAATAATATATAACTATGGGAACATATTTCTTAATATACATATAAATCACTCGTAAACACAAAACATATCATTGAATATAAACACCTTTTTTCATGTGGTCCGAGCTAAACTTTAATGTCCAACATTACCTCAGTTACATTTAGCATCACATAAATTTATTACCTCTCTTCCTCTAAAGATAAATGAATTAACTGGCAGGTAACAAATGAAGAAACATGTCTTTAAGTTTAACTTTTATGAGCAAATCACTCCATTCAGAGACATTTGCTCAATTACAAAACTCCACTCTGTCTACTGGTGGTGCACACCACATACAGTTACCCTTGTCGTCATGCAGAGACGGCACACCACTGATTATTTTACAAAAATATTGCAATAAATTCTGACTGGTGATACAAAACAGCTTCATACAAAATACACACAGCTTTCTACTCTTTTAAAAATGGTACAATGTACAGAGTTCAGAAATCTTTCTTTGAGGAAGTAAACATCCAAACTGCACATCTGTTGCAACTTTTTCATTTAACTCTGGTAGCATGCAAACGTTATGCAGGTAATGGTTTATTTAGCTGGAACACCTGACTTTTCAGTCATGATCCCAGCTGATGAGAGTTTATATTGAATCCTTATTGGATGGGGAGGGGAATCATCTGTAAATGCAGACAAGCCGCTCACAGACCTTTGGTGGTTCTCATTTTGCTGATGGTCTATTATGTAATTAATTAAACAGAGATCAGACCTTGTTATTCTTTTATATATTTAGCATTATTGTACTATAATATTATTTTGCAGCAAAAATATTGAGCTCTTTACAGAAATTTTAGATGTTAAGGTGGAGCATCTTGTTAGCAGTGACATCTAGTTGAAAAAAGTTAACACTACAGCAAGTGGATTTAATTGTCTGCTAGTGTTTGTGAAAAGAACTTGTTTATATAATCAGAGTGCTTGTTTTGAAGAAGATCAGAACAATATCAAATCCAGCGATAAAAGCTTTCACATATTTCACACATCACATTTAGGCACATAGGGCAAAAAACTGTATATTTAAGGATTTCTCAGCACAAGAAAATTACAGTTGCAACAGTTAACCACCAGATGGCAGCAGACACTATCAGCGTGGGAAAAGGCTGATTGTTTTTCTTTGTTACTGGAAACATATTTTCTTTTATAGCTGATCAGGAGAAGGTTGGAAGCTTAACTGGTTGTTATGTGAACATTTTTTCACTGGTGTTAACACTCCCAGTAACGAAAGGAAGGAGACCCCAAACTAGTCAGAAATTGAGGAGGTAGATTGGGTTCATCGGCCTGGAAAAAAGAGGCTTGGGGCAGCATTTGTTAAGGCATTGATTTGTTTAACCTACTGACTGGAAATCTGCATTGACATTATGATTCGTGTTTTTTTTCCCCTCCTTGAATGGCAAATCTTTGCAAGAAATCAGACAGTTTGGGAATCTACTGCAGATTTAAGAACCGGAAGTATATAAACTATTTCTACTGCTACACATTATGATCAGAAGAATCCCTTAAAGGTTAAACATGCACTGACAAACAATCACCTGATTAGTAAAAAAGATCCAGAAGGTTTTTTACATGTTGGAAGTACTAAAAATAAAAGGAAGTTATAATTGAAGGCATCAAAGTGGCTATTCCTGCCAGTAAAGGTGTTATGTGTAACCTTGCTCTTATTCAAAATGCTGTATCTGAACTCACAGCGTAAATTAAGCTTTTCAACATGTGTAATGTGAAAATTTTAAAAGGTTAAATTATCAGATCGTCAGAGCTTAAGGGTTTACCCCCCACCCAATAGAATGGGGTATGTTAGATTAATCTTCCTTAGCTTCACGATTAAGTAATTAGTTACAATTTATTAATGTAGAAGAAGGCTCTGAGGTTTCTGGCAGTGTTGGGCTTTGGCAGGCAAGTAACACAGCATTTTTCAGAAAGCTATCGGAAAAATATTGTGATCTTCCAAATGCATCAGGTTTTATTATTAGAGTCCCTTCTTGTAGTAATTACCAGGGTTTAAATTTGTTTATGACTTTAATAAGTAAATATAGTTTTCTTTGAATGCTGAGTTTCAGATTTTTTACAGTTATAGAGTTACTTCAGTAAAAAATCTCATATATGAATAATTTTAAATAATAAATAGATTCAATTATGAACACTATCAATAAAATATTTTAGTTTAAAGTAAATTAGTTCGTTTACAAAAACTGTTGAGTGAAACTAATTATAAAGTAAAAATAAGTGATTAAAAAAAACCTTTACAACTTGGTAATCAATGTGGGAAGGGATATACGGTATTAATAAAAAATAACAGAACCAGTTGAGAAAATGTACTGTGAATACTAGGAGAATTGTGACATCTTAGGGATTTTCTTTACCTATTTCTTATACACTATATTGCCAAAAGTATTTGCTCACCCATCCAAATTATTGGAATCAGGTGTTCCAATCACTTCCATGGCCACAGGTGTATAAATTCAAGCACCTAGGCATGCAGACCGTTTTTACAAACATTTGTGAAAGAATGGGTCGCTCTCAGGAGCTCAGTGAATTCCAGCGTGGAACTGTGATAGGATGCCACCTGTGCAACAAATCCAGTCGTGAAATTTCCTCGCTCCTAAATATTCCACAGTCAACTGTCAGCTGTATTATAAGAAAATGGAAGTGTTTGGGAACGACAGCAACTCAGCCACGAAGTGGTAGGCCACGTAAACTGACGGAGCGGGGTCAGCGGATGCTGACGCGCATAGTGCGAAGAGGTCGCCAACTTTCTGCAGAGTCAATCACTACAGACCTCCAAACTTCATGTGGCCTTCAGATTAGCTCAAGAACAGTGCACAGAGAGCTTCATGGAATGGGTTTCCATGGTCGAGCAGCTGCATCCAAGCCATACATCACCAAGTGCAATGCAAAGCGTCGGATGCGGTGGTGTAAAGCACGCCGCCACTGGACTCTAGAGCAGTGGAGACGCGTTCTCTGGAGTGACGAATCGCGCTTCTCCATCTGGCAATCTGATGGACGGGTCTGGGTTTGGCGGTTGCCAGGAGAACGGTACTTGTCTGACTGCATTGTGCCAAGTGTAAAGTTTGGTGGAGGGGGGATTATGGTGTGGGGTTGTTTTTCAGGAGCTGGGCTTGGCCCCTTAGTTCCAGTGAAAGGAACTCTGAATGCTTCAGCATACCAAGACATTTTGGACAATTCCATGCTCCCAACTTTGTGGGAACAGTTTGGAGCTGGCCCCTTCCTCTTCCAACATGACTGTGCACCAGTGCACAAAGCAAGGTCCATAAAGACATGGATGACAGAGTCTGGTGTGGATGAACTTGACTGGCCTGCACAGAGTCCTGACCTCAACCCGATAGAACACCTTTGGGATGAATTAGAGCGGAGACTGAGAGCCAGGCCTTCTCGTCCAACATCAGTGTGCGACCTCACAAATGCGCTTCTGGAAGAATGGTCAAAAATTCCCATAAACACACTCCTAAACCTTGTGGACAGCCTTCCCAGAAGAGTTGAAGCTGTTCTAGCTGCAAAGGGTGGACCGACGTCATATTGAACCCTATGGATTAGGAACGGGATGTCACTTAAGCTCATATGTGAGTCAAGGCAGGTGAGCAAATACTTTTGGCAATATAGTGTATATTTCAGGGGATTCCATGTTCTGGCAGCTTTCTGAAGGGTTATCTTCAAAGCAACAACAACATTTGCAACTGGATCAATTATTTTCTTGCAGCAATTTTTTTGGACAAAAACTGTTAGAAAAACAAATTGGGATTAAAGACCACTATGGTACTGACGGAGAAAGTTCTTCTGAGAAAACTGCAGCAGTATTCCATTTGGCTCAATAATTCAATATTCCCAACATCTTCCAAGAACCAGAAGGAAAATCAAGCATGTAAAGCCACAGAGTATAACTCCGCCCCCCTCTGGAGTTTGAGCTGCTTCATTGCTCAGCCCTGTTTGAATGACCTGATGCATCATTGTAGTCTTTCCAATGAATAATTTTCCTTTGCTTTCATCAACACCTCAGGCTCTTTTAAAGAATGATGAGTTCATTTCAGACATAAAGCTCCACAGTCAACTTTTTTGCCTTGTTGGTCTTCATCTGTAAAACCGTCTCAGACAGGCAGACTTTTTAAAAGTCATAGTCCCATCCTGAATTATCATCAGGTGGCGGCTCGTCTGCATCCTCTGGAAAACTGTCAAAGTTACTGGTATCTATTGGAGAGGACACCTGCAAAACAAAACAAAAATGTAACTTAAAATAAAAAAGAAGAAAAACAACAAATTGCAACGTTTTGATCTTAAGGGGGAATTTGACATTCCTTTCCACCTACCGTAGGTACGATGGGTGGAGTCAGTGTTCCTTTTCTCAGCCCTTCCCAGTTAAACCCTTCGAACCACCTAAACAAAGAAAAAACAGTTGATGGTATGATGATCTAAAGGATGATAAGAGGAAATCCTGTAGTTTACTCACTTGTGCTTCTGGATGTCCTTAACTCCATTTTTGAGATTTCCGAGTCTCTCTGATGGACTATCCCTGCAGACAAAACCAAGACATTATCAAAGGGCTGCTCATAAGCAGAAAGCATATTTTCTGGTATAGAAAACAATGCCTCCAACCTGCAGAGCTTCTTGATGAGGTTTGAAGCATTTTTTGTGATCTTCTCGGGGAACTCAATCATGTCAATGCCTCTCAAAATGATGTTGTATGTTTTCATTGGATCCGGACCTGAGAATGGGGGACTGCAGAAGCAAAATAACAAATAACTGTGTTACTCAAAACTATAAAACTTGATTTATTTTTCACCATCAGCTGTGTGAATCCTCACCTGCCAGTAAGCAGCTCATACATCAGGATCCCAAGAGACCAGTAATCTGCTGAGACATCATGACCTTTGTTCAAGATGATCTCTGGAGCAACGTACTCCGGCGTGCCACAGAACGTCCATGTCTTCTTGCAGACGCCGATCTTCTTTGCAAAACCAAAATCCACCTGTAAAGAGATCAACAGGTTGCATTTTTAAGGTGTATTTACACAAGAAAAGTCCTTTGGTCCCCTTGTTTGGTCAAGAGAAAGAGCAGAGTTTATTAAATTTTTTGTTAGGTCAGGTTCACTGACAATAATTGGCAACAAAGCATATGACAATTGCTGCTTACATTAGACAGACAGGTATGAGAGCACAGAAGCAAAAATCCTCCATTGAACACGTCTGTTTAAATATTGTGCAAAATCATAAAGACTTTGAGACAGTTTATGAATTAATCCTCCAATCCAAATGAGATCTGCTGAGACTAAGCAGTGTTGCTCAGTAAAAGATGGCAGATTAGATATGATTTCAATACTATATTTACTACTATGATGACCTAGTAGGCCATAGAGAATTTTGCTTTGTTTATTTGCTTTATTTGGGTCTGATAGAGTTTGTAGGTAGACCAGAACAGAGCGGCACCAGGTTTGGTTTGGAAGCAGACCAAGACCAGCTCAAAAGGTACGGCTCAATCCAAATACGTCAAAGTATAGGCCCTACCTTCCGTCCCTAGTGCCTATTCCTTCACTTCACAAACACATATGAAGATAAGGACAGTTGAAAACGTCACACACCTACAGTGAGGAAAATATTTATTTTTATTGTAACTCTGTAACGCTAAGGAATGTGGGCAACAGCATAGCTACCAGGGACAACTAGGGATTAGAATCAGTATAAAGTGGTTTACACTTACAAACTGGATTTCAGGAGGTCCCAATGCTAACTGCAGTAGCACAAGGAAGTATTCTGCTTCCAGGTCCAAGCGCCGTAACTGCCTGCAGTATTTAAAGCCTTTATTAAGTGGCTTAACTGTCCTTATTTAACCAATTCCTGGAGGGCAAGGGAGTTATATTTGGTCTTTTTACAGTATAGCAGCTCAAATGCAGCAAGTGTTAATACCCTCTTTGAGTCTTTCCACAGGAATTTAATGGTAATTTCACTTTCTATCAAAATGTTGTAAATTTAAACAAAGTTAAAGATTATCAACATATAGGATTTATTCATCAAAATTGTTTGGAACCTATTAAGCATAATAGACACAGATCGAAAAGTCACAAGGAACCTGCGTGAGTTTGCTAGATGATGGTGGACATACCAGTTTGGCATATCCTCGATTGTCCAGGATCAGGTTCTCAGGTTTCAGGTCTCTGTAGATGATGCCTTTGGCATGCAGGTAAGAAAATGCTTCAACCACGCAGCCTGTGTAGAACCTTGTGGTCAAGTCATCAAATGAACCCCTGGAATGAATAGAGATGTAGGTAAATATCTGTTTGGAGTTAATCAAATGAAGTTTCCACATTCAAAGAACAAATAAAACAAGAAATGTTTCATGTGAATTATGTTTATTGCAGTAAATGAGGACTGTGTTTTTAAGTTTTTTTTCATCTGTAAATTTGTATTTAGACTAAATGTTCTTCAACAAGAGAATAATTGTTTGGAAACTGATTTAATTGAAACACTTGTTTAACAACAGTTATATACATTGTGTAATTAATCATACTAAGTGAAAATCCATAAACCATCATTTTAAAAACAACTTAAATGTTTTATTGTTTACAATTGTATTCGAATAAAATTTTAAAGGCTTCTTATAAAAAAATGTTCGAAAGTGAACTGATTTAGTTAGGGTTAGATTATCAATATTTTTTTATTTGGAGCTCCTGCAGTATTTCTAGAATTTGAATTTGTATGACCATGCAACCTGCCCTGCGATGGACTGGCAACCTGTCCAGTACCCCGCCTCTCACCCATTGACTGCTGGAGATAGGCACCAGCACCCCTCGCGACCCCATTCAGGACAAGCGTGTCAGATAATGGATGGATGGATGGATGGATGGATGGATGGATGGATGGATGGATGGATGGATGGATGGATGGATGGATGGATGGATGGATGGATGGATGGGTGGATGGATGGATGGATGGATGGATGGATGGATGGATGGATGGATGGATGGATGGATGACCATGCAAGCTTTTATGAAGTAGTCACAGTTTTAGCTGGTTACCTGTCTCTCAGAATGGTCCACAATTCTCCTCCTAGACATGCCTCCAGCAACATATATAGATATTTACTGTCTTTAAACGTCCGGTATAACCTGAAAAAACAAGAATAAACAGTCACAAAAAGAAACTACAGCGAATGCATTTTTAACTCTTCTGATAAATGAGACCTCCAGATAAAATACCTAATACTAGATTTAAGAGTTTGTTCACACCAGGGATGTTATGAGGTATTCATGTTGGATCTGGACCAAAAGTTTATCCTAAGCTTATCCTTTTTGCTTGGTGTGATTTGTGCTCACATTATTCATTTCGCAAGTTAACTTCTCATGATCCTGCCCTTTGTGGACTTCTGTTTTAGTTTCTTTTTAAGTCTGTAGTTACATTTTGATTTTTGTCATTCTGCGTAGGTGCTTTCTTTTACATTTCTTGTTATATTTAAACAGTGTTGTATTTTTTGAGTTGCTCTCTGTTGCCCCCTTGTGCCAGTCTCCTTTCCTTTAGCTCCTTCTAGTTACTTGTGTTTACACCTGCTCCCTATCAGCTAAATAATCCTCCCATTGTTACTGGTTTCCATATATACACTTCCTGATCAGCATCAACATCAGATGCCATTTGTAGATTGACCAAAACTACCTCAAAAAGTCGGTCTTGTAGTTCTTTAGTGTGGAGCAGGGTTTGAATGTATTCATACCTGTACTACTGTAAATGGCCAAGAGAGGGGAAATCAATCTGGTCCATTTAAAGGGACACTATGCAACATTTTTCAGTTAATTAATGTGTTCCAGAACGTTATGGATGACTAAATGAGTCATTTCAGGTTGAACAAAGGTATTCTCGGCCGCCCTGGTGGTCTGTGGGGGAAATACTGCACTTGCAACTGCAGGAGCACCGACCCGCACCCACAGGCTCAGAAGTCTCGTGAGAGTCAGTCTTGCTTTACGGCGAGAACTGCTACACCACCCAGTTAAAAGCATTCTCGTTGCTAGCACAGTGGCGATCTTTGTGCAGTTATGCTACGTTCACGCAGCAAAAGCAGCAAAATCGCGTCTGCTGCTTCATTTTTACTGATTGTACCAGTTTAGTTCTGACGCGTGGCTGAAGCAGCTTTGCTGCTCTGGCTGCCCGGTGCAAAAGTGGCTCTGACGCACGTTGGGCGGAGCTTCACTATCCTTTCTCTGCCTTGCAGCTATATTTGCTGTGATCAGTGGATATAAAGTAGTTTTAATATGTGTTTAAGTGAGAAAATACACCTGAAAACGTAATCAGTGCAGTCAGTTCATTCAGATTAATATCCTGCCTTCCATATTTTTTTCTGTCGGAGCCGCTCAGACCGCCACATACCAGCGGGGCGCCGACAGTATGGATCCCATCATCAGCAGCGGTTCACCGCGGCAGCTGGTAGGTGTTTTTCATCTAAATAATCCAAACTGCATATTCTGCCGGCAGATTTCTGCATTTTAAGTTAATTTAGGCGTCAATAAACTGTTTAAGAGGAGTGATCATCAGCGCTGTGTCTCTCTCCCTGCGTTAAACGCGCCCGATGCGCTGCTTCAGCTGCTCAGACGTGCTGCGCCTGGTGCTCAAAACGCGCCGCGGGACCTTTTGTTGCGCCTTGACGCGCGTCAACCATTTACTTTGCATGTAAACTCGCTGCTTCTGTCGCGCCAGCTACGTCCAGTGTGAACGCAGCATTAGTCATTCGCTGCTAAGCTCAAAACAACCGCGCCTGGCTTGACGGAGAAACCAGGAGAACAGCTGAGCATATTTACGACAGTGCACTTTTACTTTCACCCTCTGGAGGGAGCCTCGCTGGAAAATCAACACCGGTTGCATAGTGTACCTTTAAAGCAGATTAAACAAGAAAGATATAAATCCAACCTGAATTTTCTGAAGTTGAATCTACTTCTATCAGGACATGGTTTTACTACATAACTTAGCAAATTAAAGATAAAGACTCAGAATATTCTGACCTGACGATGAAGTCTGAGTGCGCCTCAGTCATAATGTGTTTCTCTGCGCGGATGTGCTCCTGTTGCCTCGTGTCCACAATATGACGTTTCTTCAGAATCTTCATTGCAAATGTTTTAGCTTCCTCATTCTTCAGTTGCACCTGAAATACAAAATTTCTTTAGTCTTCAATGTTATAAGGTTTATAGAACAGATTGCTAAAGGTATACCTATGCCTACGGGCATCATAATGTGGTATCATTGCTATCCAGCACTTGGTGCTAACATGACATTGCATTTTTTGTGACATGATGGGAAATAAATTAGATGTTGGTTATGCTTTCTAAAGCTTTCTCACCTGATAAACATTTTCTTCATATTTCATTTTGCATGGAATTTCGACTGAGTTGTTAATTTTGTTAGTATAATAAAAAACAAAATGCAACCAAGTGTTTTGCGTTTGGTTGTTATTGACGAAGCAAATTATTAAATTATAATTAACCTTTTTTTATATCCTTGTCATTTTAGTCAAGACACATTCAGGTCTTTAACAGAAACATTCACCTTGAGCTCTCAGATATTACATTTTTTTTTAAATAATTTTATAACAACTGGATTAGCTGTAAAGATATTTCCTACCTCTTTTTTTGTTCCCGTCATATTTTCCTTGCTCTTTAAAATCCCTCAAATTGTTACATTTCAGCTCGAAATAAAAAAATAAATAAATAGCATTTTCTGATCTTTACAATATCTGTGCATGTATAGAAATTATGCTATTCTAAGGTTCTGGTTCTGCACTGTCAGAATCTTAGAGCTGTATCTAGTATTATTATTTATTATCTATTTTATATTAAACTGTTAAACTGTGCTTATTTTAGAAACATCAGTCGTTTTACAAGTTTAAAGTGCCAATAGTATGTTTTAGTGATAGTATGGTCTACATGAGGACTGCTTAGGCTGTAAACACCTCACTGTGCTTCTTATAGTTCATGACATAATCCTCTATTCCTGGACGGATTCTCCATGTCAGGTTATCTGAGCTCCAGTTCCAACCCATGACCCTCTTATTCTGCAAACAGTGATGGAAAAACAGGGAACTGAAGATGGGTTTCCACTCATGGAGCAGATTGACCTGCAGCTACCTTTAGTAACTAAGGTTTTACTGACATGTTTGGAAACTTACCTCTTTTATTAGATAAAGGAATTTTTTGATTAGTAGCATTAAATGCTTACCTTTAATATTTATTTAAATATTTCACTGTGATATCAGGAAATCCTCCAAAAAAGTTGTTCTGGAATATATAGGTTTACATTACAGTAAAGGCAGTAAAAGAAGCTGTATGTTGTAACTCTAAAACAGTCATATTCTTAGTACAGATGATGTCATTAGGGATCCGGTGAGGTCAGACAGGCGCTCCACAGCCAGAGGTCAACTTCTTTCTCACAGCACAGTTTTAAACTCACAACAACTAAAAATACCTCAGGAGGAGATCCCGAGCCTGGAATCCAATCTGTTTTTGGTTAAACCCGCAGGGCTTTCCCTTATACCAACAGTAAGCTCCAACCCCGCCTCCTGTAGTAGGGAAACCCAACTCCTTGAGCTGCAATGCGTCAAAAAGCTCCCCCCCTCCATCCGTCTACCTCTAACTGAATATCCCTACACCTGTTCTGGTCCAGGACTGCAGGTCTATGATCTCTGAAGCACATGACGACTTTTCTTTAGTTACAAGCAATGGTTTACTAGAAACATAGCACAGTTACTCAGAGCTTCTCAATCCTGGTCCTCAAATACTACTGCCCTACATATTTCTGGCATCTCTCTGTTGAAAGACACCTGATTAAAATGACTGTAAGATCTCCTCAGCAGCCATCCAGTGCTGCAGAAGCCTCTTAATCACTGATTCGTGTCATTCAGCTGTGCAACATGCAGGGTTGTGATGTTATATTGTTTCTGTTTAAATATAATGGAATTGAATACCTGGTGTCAAACTTTAAAGTGGTTTCTTTTTCCTGAAACCTTCTGAAACTTGTTCAACATCAGTCATAGTGGAGAAGATTTTTCTTGCTTCTAGAAACTTATATCTCACCAGATCAGACTTTAGGTTTAAGCTCCTGTTAGCTGCATTAGAAAGTCACTGACAAAAGCTTGAGACATACCAGTTCAACTCGTCCAAATCCTCCCACTCCCAGAGTATCAATGATGTTGAAGTCATCAAGCTTTAGGCTGGAGAAGAAGGCATTCTCAGCTTCGTATCTGGAAAGTTAAAAAAACAAAATCACGTCATGACAAATCCTGAACAAAAGTACCGTCCTGACGGAGAGTTTGTTTGGATAAAGTCTGTCCAGTGAATGGAAGACCCTGCTGTCTTACCTGCAGGACTTAACCACATGGAAGAATGGAAATTTCTTGGAGGTCTGGATGGAGAAGGAGGTGATGGGGAAGGAGTGAGAGGAAGGAGAAGGAAGGCTGGGGAGGCGTTCCTGCTTCCGCCTCACTGGGGTGGGAAGCAACTCTCTCATGTTCAAGTTGTGTTCAATAAATTGAATAAAAAAAAAAAAAAGTGCTCTTCATGTGCAGAGAGGCTGAACCAGCCTTTAATCGGTTGATGGATATATTAAGGACTGAAACCTAATGTACAGGATCCAGATTATTTTCTCACTGGTCTTCAGCAGAAAAATATGTTTTTAGTCACAGGCATAAAGACACTAAATCTTAGAACCTCACGAGAAAGTTCGGCAGAGCGTCTGTAACAGAGCCTTCTCAAAGGATGAGCTCCACGTCCAGTTTACATTGTGTGGACAGCACTGATGGCAGTGGTGGACCTGCAGAGTTCTGCTGTGGAGGTACCGGCCGGGCGGTGATTTTGCCGGATCCTCCAGAGGTTTGTGCATAAGGCTAGTGAGAAGAGGCTGGTCCTGAAGTGAACAAACTGCTGTCAGAATCCAGGAAAAACTGAGAACAGCATCACCTCCGAACAAATCACTTTACTTTTTTCTGACCGACGCACAAAAAGAAAGAAAGAAGGCCGAGGTGGGACAGTTAAACTGAGGACGCTTCAATGACTGTACCCTAGACCCTGAGATGTTAGTCCTTTCTGCAGCGGTTGACTCCTGCAGGCTGGCATCGAGAGGACAGCCTGAATAGTGGGAGTTGCTGCTGCTAATGGGTATTTTTAGGAGGTGGGAAACATTGCTCTAAGGTTGAGCTGCTAAAGGAAGGTCAGTTATTAAAGAGGTTGGCTCAGTTTCAGGAGACAGGAGCACAGACTGTCCAGACCTAAAAAAGCAAAGGATTCCCAGGTTTCATTTTCTATCAGAGTTCCTCAAAGCTTTCTGACCTGTTCTGTATCCAGGGATCAACATTAGGATTGAGTTTATCAATTCCCTTAATGGGAAAGAGGTTCTTTCACATCAACATACAACATATTATCTACCTCACATTACTAAGGACTAATAGTCACTAAACTCTAGTTAAAGCAAGAATCTACAAGCCATTTACTGCACACTATTGTCCTAATATTTCCATATCTCCTCAAAGGAACCATCTGTGAGCCAACAAAGTTAGACAAATTGTCAAATAATCTAAAGTAAAGCAAGCCACAAAATCAAGTCGCTTGGTTTTCACAAGATCCTAAATCAGACTTTCCTTACCTAAAATGACCAATTAAAAAAGTCCTACAATAAATTATTTATTCAGAGTATATTAAACAAGAAAGAAAGATTTTTGCTTATCTTTAGTCAAGTTGACACCCCAGCAAATGTAGCTTTATATCAGTCTGCATTGTTCAGAGAAATTACAAAAAATATATACCAACACGACACAGTATTCTGCAAAATCTCCTTTTAATACATGCAAACACGTGTCCTGTATCTCTCCAGACCACATCTGTCTTCCCTTCATCTCACGCTCCATCTCTCTCATACAACGTATCATTAAAATGTCTATACTGTAATGCAGTTGGATGAAATATATGATGTAACCTCATAAAATGGACAATTTCTTCTAAGTAGCAACAATTGTGGTCATTTAGAGAAAAACTAGGTTTGGATAACAGCTGATTGTTTGCGTTACACTCTTACATCAAGTCTGAAGCACTCGTAAAAAATTGTTCCTACCTGAGGGAAGATTAGAAATGGAAGAAAATAGTGAATCCGACATTTTCTCCAAGATCACTCGTACAGATGATTAAAGATCAGATCCTATCGTAAGAACGCTTTTTGCAAGAGACCAAGCCAATTTAAAATCAAACCACTTTAAAAAGAGCAGGTACTATCTAAAATGCTGAATAAAAATGTTTAAGATGAAGAAATAACGCAATAAAATAAAATAAAAATGAAATCAGGAAAATAAAAAACAGAAAGTTATAAAATAAAATAAAATGAAGAACTTATACCAGGTCAAAGCTCAAAAAGGAAACAAGAGGGTCATTGGAAAGGATCGAACTGCAAAGTAGATATGTTTATCCGGAATGCAAAAGGTCATGTATGACAGGATATTAGCACAAACATCTCCTACTATTAAGCATAGTAAATGGGGCATATTGACTGGTCCATAAACTTAAACCAAACAATTTTAAAGTAAAAACTGAGTTAAAGGTTAGGAGAAGAAGTTTTTGAATACTTATACCCTTGCTATTTTGTAAGTTAGAAATCACGGAGGGGTCTGAAAAAGTCCTTGTAGGTGAATGTCTACTGTGAGAGACTTAATCTAACAAAAATATATCAAGAAATTACAATATATGAATTTTTTTTTTTTTTACTATTTATTTGTATAATAGTGTAAACCATTATCTCTACTTGATACTGTATACCTAGGGTACTGAGAGCTGTTGGGAATTGTGCAGAAATCTCAGAAGAAGAGTGGGCTAAACAGTTTAAGATACTGTCATCATACCTTTATGTTTTGATAATGTTTCCCATATTTCTATATTGGGACTGGCAAACAAAGCCTCTTCAGTTCTACATGCAGGACCAGACTAATTCCAGGAAGAAGTGGAATCAGGTTTCTGGAAAACAGTGGCTACTGTTGGCCTGTATTCAAATAGTCTAAAATAAGGCGACGGTAAGAAAGAGATAAAGAGCTCATTAAAAATAAAAAGTACACAATGATAAGAAAGACCAGCAGAGTAAAAATAATAATGTTTAAAAAGGTTAAATAAAGGGAGACCGGAGACAAGATACAGAATTTAAAATGTTTTGTTTTTTTGAAGTGTTGTGTTTTTTGGTTTCTTGTAAAGTTTAGATTGTTGGTGTGTTTTTATAATATTTTTTTTATATAACAAAAAAAAAAACAACTTCCTTCAAAAGGATGCATAAAGTTTAAATTGAACAAATAGGGATTTCTAAAGTTTCCTCTGCTGTCAGCGGGTATTTATAAAACTTACAAAATAATTCTGCCAATTAAGAATTAACATAATCTCTTCCTGTTTCCTTTAGCCAGCTTAAATTTATAAATAAAACTCAGATTATTGAATAGAACAAAGTTTAACGAATACACAGCACTAAAGGACAAATGCACACTCAGGTTTCACTGTTTTTTGTTTACCACCATGACAACAGCTCTGACAGACAGCTAGCATCTGGTTTATGAATGTGTGTGTGTGTGTGTGTGTGTGTGTGTGTGTGTGTGTGTGTGTGTGTGTGTGTGTGTGTGTGTGTGTGTGTGTGTGTGTGTGTGTGTGTGTGTGTGTGTGTGTGTGTGTGCCATATCAAATCTATACCATAAGAGGAAACATGAGAGTATCAAGCTACATGGTGTCACATGACTTGCAGTCAAATGACCCTCAAATGTTACTGTATGTCGGCTTGTTTACAGCATGAGCTAAATCCTGATTAGATGAATGTCTACTGCCCACAAATGCCTCTAAAAGTTTCCGTTTCTCCACCTAGTTGTGGCTAAATTAGATTGAAACTTTTTCAAAGACAATCATTGACATATTTGATGTTTACATGAAAATAAAATAATTGTATTTTAAATGTCCAAAATATGAATATTTATTATATATGAACCTTTTAAGGTGACATTTATAGAAAGTAAATTTTTAAAAAGAACAGAGAAATAATTCAATTACAGTTTATTTAAACTAAATTTAAATTTCAAGTTGCGGGAATATGCTTTCTTTAGTTAGATCAGGAAAAAAGTCTCCTAATGAGTCATGCTTTTTTTTTTTTATCGGGGCTTAAATGTGAATGACTTTATACATAATGCTTTGGAAAACTGTCCACTTACCCTAAGGGACCTTGTGGTAAGTGGACAAAAAATTGTGAATGCAATTGCAATTGCAATTGCAATTGCAATTGCAACAGCGAGGTTGCAAGGTTGAATTTCAAATATATATATCTTTATATAAATTTCTGATTTTCTTTTTTTTTCTTTTATTTTGTTGCATTTCATATCCATTTGATTTGTTTATACAACTATTTATGAAAACAAATGTATGCATTAAGCTATATATTGTTTTTTCTGAAATTATTCCTAATTATGGAAGGATTGGTCCTAGTTCCTATGCTAAATGGAAGCTGATCTGCTAGAAACATCCCCATATATAAAGTAACTACTAAGAAACATCACAGAGCTCATAGGTTCACACTACTGTCATGGTTTTGGTTCTGTTCATGTTTTATCTCTGGGTTTTCATTGGTCTTATTTCCATTTTCGTGTTCTATCTATTTCTGATTGTATTTAATTTCCTAGATATTTCTTGTTTTCCCCCTTGTGTCAGTCTCCTTTTCCCTAGCTCCCTTCTTGCCTCCTCTGCCCACACCTGCTCCCAATCTGCTAATTAGCCTGGTCTTTGTTAGTGTCTCCCATATATTCTTCTCCTGTTCAGTCACTTTTTGCTGGTTTGTCGTCATTTTTTTGCCCCCTTGTGAGTATTCCTGTTTCTCAGTTTTTGTGGATTTATGTTTTGGATTTTTGCTTCTGTTGAACTTTTGGTTAATTAAATCTTAACAGCTTAGTCAGATCAATGAGAAATATTTGGTTTCATTATTGCTCATTCATCTTGGCTTTCTTCAAACCTGGTGTGTTTTATAAAACTAACTTAGACATATAGCAACTACTTTGTCTTGACCCTTTAGAACAGAAAGTCAATTTACCTCAGTTTTATGTATGGAGATATACAGTAAAACAACCCCCTGAGTTCCATACCGGCTGTGTTTTGTCAGTTCTTACTTAACTGCAGTGAATAGAGCCGTAAATAATTGTTATATGATAAAATTGGAAGACTTAAATAAGAAGCGTAACTTTTTTTTAGCCTACCCTAACCCTTATGATGATGTCGACCTGTGACTGAGGAACCTACTTGGCCTTGACTTCAGCATCCTCGTAGACTTTATTTGAGACGTCATCCAGTCCACCAATCAGATGCTTGAATGAGCTGAAGGAACAAAAGGGATTGACTCATTAGATACATTTACTACAATAAATACCAGCATTAATACATTTACTACAATAAATACCAGCATGAGGCTTTAGTCTCTCCTGGAACACCTGGTCTGACCAGACCATGGTGACAAGTTAAAAGTGGTCCCAAATACAGATGTCACTGGAGATTAGTCCTGATAATGGGTTGGTGTTTGTGCAAAGACAAACACACTACTCTCTATGTTATTAAGTAACTAGACTGGACTGGGACCGCTTTGAACCACGCAATGTTTCTGAGAAGGCTAGGCAGTCTTAAGGTAAATCAATTAGAATGATGTAGACAGAGCTTCCAAGAGTAACGAGTAACATTTGTTTTAAAAATTTAAGGAATAGAAAGTACAGATACTCGTGTGAAAATGTAATAAGTAGAAGTCAGAAGTAGGAAGAAAAATAAGTAATGGAGTAAAGTATAGATACCTAAAAAGTGTACTTAAGTACAGTAGCAAAGTATTTGTACTTTTTTATTTGACACCTCTGCAGGTTAGGAACTGCAAATGAATTGAAATTGCAGTTGCAAGCCAGTGGATAACTGCAGATGTTCTGATAAGTTGTTGGAAGCTTTACATGTAGCCTCATGTTTGCAACAAGAATATCTGTTCCTAAACAGACAGGAACAGATACTAATATGAAATAACAGGTTATGCAGTTTATTAAGAAAGCCAGCAGAGAGCAGCATCAACCTAACAAACCTGTCATGCCTTTTCCCAAAGTTCAAATCTAATATTTTAAACATGGTCTGTGGAATGATTACACTGAACCCAAAGCTGGTGGATGTTTCATTTCTATGCAGCAAATCTAGAAATGTTCTTTTAACTCCTAGGGAATTAAATTCAACACTTTGAAGTGTCTGTATTGGTCCAGACTTGATCAAGTTCAAATTACACTTGAAAATGCAGCACTTTTAATAGTTTATTTTTCAGGGTTGAACTTATTTAACATACAGTATATTGTTAGAAGTTAACACGAGTTAACATTGATCATATAGCTGAGTTTGATCAGCATAACAGAGGGGCTCCTATGTGAACACCTTTAACACTTCATCAGTGCGAGTTATGTGTCTTGCCCAAGGATACAATGACTGAGCTGAGATTTGAACCAGTGACCCTAAAGGGGGAAGTTGTGGCTTAGTGGTTAGAGCATTGTGTTTGGGTCCCGGAGGTTCTGAGTTCAAGCCCCACAGACTGCCACTCTGGCTCCCTGAGCAAGACCCTTAACCCCAGATTGCTCCCCCGGCGCCACAGAGTGACAGACCATTGCTCCCCTAGGGAATGGGCTAAATGCAGACAGTGAACTTTCCCATTGTGGGAAAAAAAGGAATTTACATTTAAAGCTGTAATGTTGCCGTTGGTGCACACGGGGGTTCAAAGACAGGTAGTTGTTCTGGTAGAAAATGAAGACATTTAATTTTGCTGTGTCCAGGAGTGTTAGACTCTTCTGAAACAATGGGGAACTTACTCTCTGTCGATAACCAGGCAGGTAACAGCCTCAAGAGCAATGACGTTGGCTGTTCTCACGTCTTCCCTGAAAACACACATACAGTTATTGAGAACAAACAACCATATTAACCTCATTCAGAGCACAGAAGAATGTATAATCTGTGATTATTTCAGATGAATAAACATTTTACATTTTCAACACAATTTCTTCTCAAACATGTATGTCTTAGAATTTGAAAGTAAAAAAAAAAAAGATTGTTTATTTATACAATTCATAAAACTAACATGTACTGTAGCTCAATGTAAATTCTATGAGTAAGAAATGATCAAATAGTTGGATGGACGGGTGTACAGGACATTGAAGGCATCAATGAAAAACAAATGGATAACATGGAAGGATGGATGGCTGAATGGAGCTAAAAGGTTGAGTGTTGCTAGTTGTCTTGGGGGATCCTGGTCTTACCCTTGGAGCGCTCGCTCTCCAAACCAGTCCCCTCTGCCCAGCTCCCTCAGGTGAATTGGCTCCTGATTAACTAAATCCCCCTGAGTCACGTTCACCTGGCAAGGAGCATGTTTGTATATCAGGTCTCCTTAGAATATATAATAATGTTGATAGCATCGAGGCAGAGGAGGAGAAGGGTAGACTAACCTTCCCTTTGCTGATGATGAAGAAGGTGTCGCCGCGTGCGCCCTGTCTGATGATGTACTCTCCATCATCATAGTGAGTCTGGACACAGACGCAAAGTGTCTCACTAAATGATTCACAGCAAAGGACGAAGAGATTATGATGATTGTGACGATGGACTCACCTCCTCCATGACATCTGCCATTTTACTGAGAGTTTCCTCTGAAAGACCCTTGAAGGTTGGAACACTGTAAAGGCAGAATTCAGTCGTTAATCAGTATTAAATCGTAAATCAAAAAGCCACACTTCAGTTTCTGTCTATGGTTTTTCCTTAAGTTCATGGATACTTTCTGAAAGGTATGACATTTTATGTTTCTAAAACAGCTTGTACAGACCAGCAGAACTTTAGCTACTGACTGTATCTGTGCATACGGTGATGAGATCATATATTTCTTGGACACTCACCTCTTTAGAAAGTCCATATATTCAGAATGTTTGATAAGGCCGGTTCTCATCATGATGGTCTGAAAGCACTGTCTGTCAATGGCCCACAGCTTCACATGGGTTAGAGCTGAAACATAGTTAGTGCTAAAACAGTCAGAGGGGAAACTTTGAGAGCTGAAAGAGCTTTTACTAAAATACAACGAGATGAAACAGCATCTGACTTTTAGTTTCTCAATAGTCAGAATTTATTAAAGGTTTCTGATAAATAACTGGATGTGGATTTTTCCTCTTGTAATTGTATGAATTTGTGACAATGTACGTGTTTGTGATTGTTGGCTTCTATATTCATCCATAATTTGCACTAGAGATGCTGACAATCTGAAAGATAAGACCTGAATTAGTGCCACACTGTGTGTGCACAAAACATGCATAGGTGGTCATGGAAACAATGCACATCTCTGAGAATGTGTCAGCTGTTCAAATCTCCAAACCAGGTGTAATCAGGCAGTCAGGTTGACCAACAGAAGAAACTTTATTATGAGCTGAGCTAGATTCACTGAGTTAAGGTTGTTGCTTAGTAACAAATTCTAGTCCATTTAACAGCAGCTGACTTTGTTATTTAATGAACAAACACTGGACCTTGGTTTCACATTCCTCATTTAACACTGCTATAAACATTAAGGGGTACTTATCTCTGTAAGGATAATTTTAACCCCTTGGTGACATCTACAATCTGAGATCTGCCGAGATCCATCAAAGTCACAGACACTAAAAGAAACCCCAGCTCAGATGGAGAAATGCTGCAAAATGGAAGCTGGTTTCATCCCCGAGTGAGCAGCTTGGTCAGAGAAAAACACGTTTCAGGCACAGATTAAACAACTGGTTTTATTTGCAAATCAAAGAATTATCGATGAAACTCAGATCACTTTATTACACATTCTCTCCCTCTTTCTGGTAATGACAGTTTTGTGTTTCACAGAGTGATACAGTGATGCAGAGATTATTTTTGGTTGGTTCAGATGTTGCAGCTTTGTGATCTACACGAGGAGTTGCAGCCTGAAGCTAAACAGCCAAACAAGTCTTGACGCCTTACAATTGAGTCAAACTAGAGAAATTGAGCCTGAAATTACAATAAAATCCACTAACACCTGTCTGTGACAGAGAGGATCAGGTCTCTCTGAGGCCTCCGTTTTATGTGGAGACACCACGCATCCACAGTGACGCAGGTTCATTTCCCTAGACAAACAGAACCGAGGACAGGGGATCAAGAAATAACTGTGACTGTAACACAGTGGAATCTTCATCCCTTAGAGGAATATTTGATATTTCACTTTGCAGTATAAAGTCCTTCAACTATGAAAAATCTGAAATGAAATCTAAAAAACCCTGCCTGAATCAGATAGAGGGAAGACATTAGAAAGAGAAGGAAAAGCAGAGCAGAGGCAAGCAAATAATAAAGGAATGATAATTAGAAAAAATGTAACTTAAATTAGGATAATGGAGCAATGAAATACTAGCATAGTTATAAACTACATGAGAAAAGAAAAGAATCAATTCAAAAACTAGAGACCAAACATTATGGTCATTGAGGTAAATGTAAAAACGGAGATCATGCTTGTAAACAGAGATGACAAGAAAAAGCCCATAAACAAAAAGAAACTATAAAAAGAGAAAATGGTATTTAAAAAGACACAGTTTATGAAAACATTGAAAACGAAGACAAAAAAATTCTAGGATAACTGAGGAAAGTCCTCACAAATGCACAAAGGTAATCCAAACATATCATATCCCATAATCTATAACAGGTCCACAGACAGACCTCGCTGCCATGGTAACAAGGCATCCACCTAAAGTTAGAGGCAGTTACTGTGGAGACGAAGAATCTAAGAAACTTTCTGTACTTTAAAGATGTTTGTGTGGAGATATACTGCAGTTCTGACAGAACACCAACATTTTATTTCTAACAGTGAGGATAGTCTTCTGATTCTGTCACTGCAGGGCCTCCAAGCTGCAGGACATGGAGTGAAAAACTGTTTCTGAGGTTAAATGAGAGTGTTTTGTTGTTGTTTTTCATCCTGCGAGAAAGTCCGGAAGCCAAAACATTCGTGTGTAAAGCTTAAACTGTGTCTTTGAGTTGACTGAAATTTTAGCAAGTGTGAAGATGAGAGAGAGACTCAGCCCGGTTATAAATAAACTGTGTGTAGATATATTGATGTTATGTCAATGTGATATCAAATTGATAATACAGGCTGAACACATAAAGCTATTATCTGAGAGCCATAAATGGAATTTTTCAAATATAGCACTATTTAACTTGAATGTAAAAAAAAATAAATAAAAATAGAAAGCTGAAAAAGGAAACATTCGACTGTAGTGTTTTAGTTCTTCTATTAGCTTCTGGTTTTGAAGCCACTCAGATGACTGTAAATGTTTGGCTCTCTGGATGGCTGTCAATCAGCAGTGTCTTACTTAGCTCCCGATCTCTCTAATCAAAAATGTAAAAGCTGTAACCCATTAAAAATGTACAAAGCTAAGTCTGTTCGCTTCCACTCAAAAATAACATAACAAATCAAGGGAAAAAATGCATTTAGGCAATCTGATTGTCACCATAGAAACACATTAGTAAAATCCAGTTAGGATAATATGGGTCATTATAACAGTATACTTAAAACGGCATGAACTATTCTAGTTCTCTTTATTATAGTTGGTATTTAGACAGAGAGAGTCTTGGTATTGTAGTCTGAATTAACCCATTAAAGTAATACTAAATGCAAAAAAAATTCCTGGATTGCAGTACATTAGAAAAAAAAATATCACAATGAAGGAATCCTGGTGTGATTCTCTAATGATGTAAACCAACCAGGTTTGTTCCTGCCTCTTTCATGTTCTTGGTTCCGTTTAAGTTTTCTATTTGAGTTTTCACTGGTCTCATTTCTAGTTGGTGTTATTCTACAGTAGTTGTTTTTTAATTGTATTTGAGTTCTTATGTATTTCTTGTTTACCCTTTGTTGCCCTCTTGTTTCAGTCTTCTTTCCCCTTGCTCCCTACTAGATTCTTCTGTCCACACCTGCTCCCAATCTGCTGATTAGCCTAGTCTTTGTTCTGTTTGGCAGTTATACTCCTCCTCTTCAGTTACTGTTTGCTGGTTTCTCTTCATACCTCGCTCTTCATGTGTGTTTTTCCTGACATGTCCTGTTTTTTGGTTTGCTGTGTTTTGTTTTTCAAATTTACCTTCTGTTGCCTTTGATCTAGTGATGTTATAAGATGAGCCGAGGCTTCGAAGCGTGTGTCGAATAGTGGAGGGTGGGTTTCCGTGAGCCGTGTATCGAAGCTTGCTTTATTTGGGGGAGGAGCCAAAATAAATCACGTCCATAGCCTCGCAAGCCCAACATACCACGTGCTTTGGGAAGTGGTTCAGCTCACCCGGAACTTTGGCAGGCTTTTAAACAGCCTCAGTATTCAGTCAAGATGTGGGATTTTATGTTGCGGTCAGTTGTATAGAATTTGGATAGATTCTAAGAATAGATAAGTTGGAAGAACAGCCAACCCAGTTGGTTAAGACTAGTTTGGTTAGATTAAACAATGTAATGATCAAAATCTGAGCAAGCCACTGATTACAGTTTTAACATAGGTGTTAAGCAATATTGCTTTCTGGGAGGATGCCTCCTTGTTAGTGGCGTCAGCTATAAGCCATGAACTTCCATCGGTTTGCCCTAGTGCAAATATAGATTGGGTAAAAACACACAGCCAAATTAGAAACAAGCACTTTCACTTTCTGCTTGAGCTTATTTCTCTAAAATAGCAGTAAAACAGTGTACCTTATATGATTTTTCTCTTCTAAGACATTTTGCACACACAAAAAAACTTACAAAAGATTTTATCATACAGACCAATGATTAAAAATTTCAAAGGAACTTAACTGAAAAAAACAAACAAGAAAGAAAATTACAAAGAAATCCCAGATTACATTACTAACTGAAGTTATGCACTCTACCAGTAGGTGGTGACATGTTCACATGAAGCTTCATGAACTGTGGGGATGGTTCATCTCACCATCACTACTTTGATCTACATTAAATCAGCAAAAACTAATCTCTGCCTCCTTGCCTCTGCATTTGGGTCCTCTTCAAAGCTCCACACAACCTGACACCCAACAGCAGTGAAAACACTGTAGATATCAGGTCTGCTAAAGATAAATCCTTACCAACTGTGGGGTTTTTTTGTATCATGAAACATGTTTTCTGTTGTACCATCAGTTACAGTCAAGCAGTGGATGTTTAATTTTCATTGATGAATTTTAACTGAGCTCAATATGGAATCCAATTCTTTCATTGTTACATTACTTATGTCACCAAGGGTGTAGGTTTGATTTCAACTTAGGTAAGGGCACTATTGGTCTGATGCCATTGGTCCTATGCAAAAATATGCATGCTCGTTTTTTTATGCTTGACGTGAAAATCAGGGTCTATTTTGTTTAAAGCGAAAATCAGCATTTCTTGCTACATTTATACAAATGTTATAAGTGCTACACACACTAGAGCATCACCAGCTCTTATGAATGAGGAATTATGACTTCTTTTCCACTTTGAAAAGGTTTGCATTTGAAATTCCCAGCGACTAAGACAGAAAGTAAATCTGTGCCTATTTAACAAAATATGGTCTAAATATGTCTGTTATATGTGGATTTATCCTGTTTTTTCTTTTGAAGATATACAATTGTTCAGAGGTAAACAGAGGTAAAACCTACTCTTATCTTTTAAATATTCCCTCTGTATCATGAAACAAAGCAAAATAATATAATCAAGGAACGCCAAATAAATGTATAGTATTTCCATGAGCACAGGAACTGACACTGGGCATTTAGAATATTAATTTCACTCTATAAGTCATCTAGGCTGTAGTTACTCTATTTAACCCATATTATGTATTTTATCTTGCTCTGATACAATTCATCGAAATAATCGATTATTGAAATGTCAACAAATTTAGTAATCGATTAATTGTTAATTGGAGTATAGAGACTCTAAAACATGTCTTTAGCTCACAGAGTGACCAAGTTACAGCAGGAATTATATCAAAATTGTAAATAAATATATAAACACTTTACATTTTAGATAAAAACTGTTTTTGTCTGTCAATATTGTCCATCCAGAACCCCTCTACTGCTGCAACAAAGCTGTATTGTATAATATAAATGCTATAGATGTTGTTCACATCTAACTGTTGGTAGGGACAAGTAGGTCGAGTTATGGCATTTCTGGTTGGATCAAAGTCAGCCAGTTAATGAAGCCAATATTTTCATTTCTGACAGTCAAAGCATGTTAATGCACAAAAACATAATTGTGTTGTCTGTCACTCTACTCATGCCTCTTTCTCACCATATGACAAAGCATATTTTTCCATGAAAGTTTGCAACTGTATTTCAAACTTGATAGACACATAATGATTATAATATTCATGAGAGCAAACGTGGTAAAGAGATTGTGCCAGCAAATTTTGGTAATTTAGCAGATACGGTACTGGGAGAAGCAGGTTAGTGTCAGGACTCCTGTCTGTTTGTTTCTGTTTGTCTCCCTTCCTCCACCAGGAGGCGCCTGGTTCTGGTCCGCCTCCTCACACATCTGCTGATGGTTACTTCGTTAACAGAGTGTTCTTAAGCTGCTGACTGCCACTACCTCGACGCCAGAGTGTTTGCCAGTTTTGGGTACTCTAGCCAAGCTGAGATTTGCTGAGTCAAACTGAGTTTTGTCAACCTGATTCTTAACGTTGTTTTTGTCTTTGCCTTTTGGCAGGGAGTCATCCTGCAAGCTGGATTTTTCGGACCTTCTCTCCCTGGAAGGATCAACTGAGATTCAAACTGAGCTGGGGATACAAAAAGGAGGTTTGGATCCACTTTTCCCCAAGAGGTCGTTTCCCCAAGGGATTCATCTACACCACAGCCCGTTCAAGTACCGCAGGAAATCTAAGTGGCAGTCAGCTTCTCCGTTCACCTACAAACAACCGCATTCTGGGTAAACTTCTGCCCTCCACCGAATCACACAAACACTGGAACAACAGCATACAGACTGGAGTCAGATATTCAACAACTTCTCTGGAAACGTGAGTCAGCAACCAGATCCTCTTCTCCAAGTTCTGAATTGTTTTTTCTGCATGTGGGTCCGAGCTCTTGATAAAATCATGACAGTTAGTAGATCAGCTTTGCTTGTGCTATCAAGTTTACACAGGTTTTTACGGCCCTGGGACTTTAAAAGGTTAAACCCCAAGTGTTTTAGATCTGAATTATGGTGGCAGCTGCTATATCTTACTAGACCGTTCCAAAATGTTAACATTATTTTAATCAGAAAAAAAAAAATGTAAAAATTAACTATTTAAATCTCAACTAACATGGACAAATGACCAAGCAACTTCTCTATCCCATTCTTTTAGAGTGATCAGTTCACCAAAGCCATGTTAATGTATACATATATTTTTTTAACTGTACAAGGAAGGCTAAGTCTAGGATTGATCACATTGATGCATAGAAAGAAGATTCAAACTCCATGCAGAAAGATGCCGGGCCAAAATTACAAACCCGGAACTTCTTGCTGCAGGGCAACATTGCTAGCAACTGCTCCACCAATCAGCGCACCTACCTTAAGTTGAGGACAGTTGATCTGAGAATAGTATAGCATTACTATTCACACTTTTTAACCTGTGATAACCAGGCTCAGACTAATTTTACAAAAGGATAAAAAGATACAAACATTGAAAACCCCAGAATAATATTAGGAAGATCAAACATGCATGGAAGACAAATTTGTTCAAGTTCTAGTAGATTTATTAGACATAAAAAAAATAATAAAATAGTGGATTTAGCTCTCTGTCCTATAAACAGCACAGATTAATTGAGGAAGGTTTAATGTGTTAATGTGAAAAACAAGCAGAAAGCTTCTGAAAATGCAAACAAATCATGTGGAACCAAGCCCTGTTGCCAAGAGACGCACAGGTGCCAAAACGTGTTGGCTGGACCGGATGGTGTTGCCTGGCAACAGCTGCTTAGTGATCGTTCCACCAGGAAGAGCTGACAGGAAGTTGGACCTGCACGCTTAGACACATGGTGCTGTCAAATAGAGTTCAGCCTTGTTTCTTCTGCTGAACTTATATTCAGCTCCCTCTGGATATCTGACTCTTCCTGCTCCATGTTAGTGGAAAAAAACACTAGTATAGAAGCTGATTCCAGCAATAGTAATTCAGTCGCTTTATTCAAACATGTTGGTTAAAGTAGAATCAGCGAAATGCTGGCAACATTCTCAAATTCTGAAATGTTTTCTCTGGATTTTCTCCTCATTAATAAGAAAACCCACCCAATCCCAGAATAACTAACACCACAGGAACCCCACCGTCTGCCCTCTCATTATTCAGTGTAAATCTAATGCTACAAGCTGGAAACGTTTTGAAGTTATAATTTAACAAAGGAAAGATGCCTGCATTCTGTCAGGTCAACCCCCTGCAAAGATGTTTTTAATGATATCCAGGCAAACATTCAATTCAACCAATAATGACTTGTCAGCTAGTATTGGCCCAGGAGGAAAGAAACACAACAGAATCATTTTCATTTTAAATTTTGTATCTTTTTTTCTTGTTTTTTGTCTTATAACAGGAACTTGGCCAACCTGATTAGGGGTATCTATTCAATCTCATTTCCTTACTGATCTTCCCACTGTATTAAGGAAAACAGAAAACAGAGAAAACTAGAGGAAGGATCTGAAGTTTTTCACAATGTTTGTCTTGTTGTTATGACCTGAAATCTAACACCGTACTCACTCCTGACTGTAGCAGTCCGGGTGCAGTTGTAGAGGATGGCAAGCTCTCCGAAAACTTTTCCTGGTCCCATCGTGCACAGCTTCATCCCCTCTTTGGTCACCTCCACTTTACCCTCTGGGTGAAAAACATGGAAACAAACTATCACTGTCAAACGCACACCTCTCTTCAGACACGTGCAAAATTTAGTATCACTATGTGTTGACTAAAAGTACAAATATAATAACTTGCTCATTCTAACAAAAAAATACTTGATAAAAATGTATATAAATTAAATAAAAGCAAGAAAAAGCTGGATTTTGACAGATTAAGCACATAATTTATCCTTAAAAATCAATCTGTCCTGTAATTGATAGACTCTGTGCAATTAGCTGGTTTTCCTCTATAGAATCTTTTAATTATCTGATTTATTTGCCTGTGCAAAGTACCTTAAAATGACATGTGTTGTGAATTGGTGCTCTATAAATAAACTAAACTGAATTGAATAACCCAAACCACCTGAATCACCAGTAGTTTTCACATCATTAAGTATCACCACTTGAGTATGTGTAGGATAAACTAAAAGAAAACAAACACAAAGCATTATATTGATACACTTAGGTTAATGGTTGATGAGAAATTTTAGATTTTTCAGTTTGAATTATAATTTCTGATCAACGTTGTTTTGTTTTTTTCTAAATGAAACATGAAAACTGAGCATATGAAGAGCAGCATAAAAAAACGCAAGATAACGGTTCCACCAAAATGGATTCCAGCTTCCCATTAAGTATGAACACCTGCAAGACTTCTATAGAAATCCTTTTGAGCAAGGTTAATTAACTGCAATACTGTAAAACTTGAGTATTCACTCTATCTCTCTCTCTCTGTATATCTTTGCTCATAATTGAAACACATTGCATTTCACTACAAACAGACAGAAAAAAAACAAGAGTCTAGAAGTGTCTATATATTCCAGCAGAGACGACACCACCAGCATTTTTTGTATCATATTATCCTTGTTGACTCTTTACATTAACCTGCACGTTGTATTCATTTCTATGGCCTAACCCTGAGCAATACCCTAACCTGACTACAAACACATACCTAACCCTTGTAATGTGTGAGCTTTCCTTCTAGCCACACTGCAAACCACACTATAGAGGAAACTATTGTATGCCATGAATTATTATCTATGTCCACATTCAGTACAAATGAGAGTCATACAAGTCTACTGTATGACTCTCAATGGTATCATACATTGCTATAGATGTCATTTTGTAAAGCATAGAGGCTTCTGCTTAACTGAAAAAAAGTAATAGTCATCTCTAACTTTCTCTAACTAAACAGTGAAAAAACTGAAATCCTTCTCATAGGAACCAAACTTGTATTAAAAAAAAACTGACATTTTCTCCCTTCAACTGACAGTTCCACATCCTCCCCCTCACCTCAAGCTAAGACTTTGGGTGTCATCCCCAATACCTATCTGTCCTTCACCTCTAATCAGTAAAATTACCTGTTCTGCTTATTTTCGTCTATGTAATACTAATGGTCTTTTCCTGCATTCTCCATCTATTTTTATCCATATTTCTCAAAACTCCCTCCATAAACTCCAAGTAGTAAAGAATTCAGCTGCTCTATTAAACCCCAGCCTTACAGCACTTCCACTGGCTCCCTCACAAATTCAGAATACAATTCAAGATTCCTCCCTATGCATTTAAGGTTACCCACCACCCTGCTCCTTCCAACCATTTTGATCTCCTTGACATAGTTACTTACTCCCACATCCATAGATCTTCCTTTATGGATATAGGAGATAGTTTCCACAGAGTGACTGGCATAATGATTGACTCACCATCACAGTTCTTCCTTTCACTTTATTATTCCTTCTGCCTTCCTCAGCACTACTGGGGACAGAGCTTTCTCCCATTCTGCTCCTAAACTTTGTTATTCTCTCCCTCTAGACATTCAAAATATTCACACTATGCTCTGTTCAAGTCTAAACTTAACACACCTGTTCAAAATTTAATATTGTAACTGTTAATATGTGCTGGTGATTCTCAGTCATCCAGGTCAGAGTCATTCCAAAAAAGGTAAAAAATATGTTTAAATATGTTAATATGTTTTTTTTTTTAGTGTTAATATGTTTTATTAATCTTTGTTGTTGTTCTTATGCTCCTTGATCTGCACAGTGTTCAACGATCCATCCACTTATCCATCAATTCCTTTGCACAGTGATCATAAGCTGTGGCCCACAGGGGAAGATGAGGGTTCTTGATAACTTCCGAAAGTTATAATCCGGGAAGCATCCTTCTGATATGCTAGAGCAGATGGTCTACTATGAGCTGTCGCCATATGATGCATCTCCTCTTAATTCAAAGGAAGAGTCTGCTGATGTATCCACGATTGTTACAGCTAGTACAGTAACCTTTTCTGATTCTTTTTTTTAATGCTGTACAGTTGCAGGTATTGGTGTAGTTGGAGCTTCTTTTTAGTGTCTTTGCTGTGGAGATAGATGCAGACATCATCCTCATTGGCACTTATTAAAAACTCTGGCAAAAGTAACTAGATCATCAGCTATTGGCTCAACCATTCCAAGAAGAGCCCCCTTCAAATGCTGGTTTCCCCCTCGCAGGAAGACCTAACTGTGTCTTTGTTTGAGCAGCTTGAAATCTTGCTGGGTGTTTTCATTGTTGTGATTGTTTTTTATACACTGTATTGGAACTAAGATATATTTTTTGTTGTTGTCTGATTAGCTTTAAAGACACTTATTTCAGTTTTTAACCTTTTTTTTTTTTGTTTTTTTGTTTTTTTTATCGTCCAGAGAGAGAATGTTGTTGTTTTTTTTTGTTGTTTTTTTATGTTGGGAACTCTCAGGCTAAAACCTTTTATAATATGAAGCAGTAAATAAAATAATATAATAAAGTAGGGCTGTAACAAATGATTATTTTGGAGGTTGATTAATCTCTTTTTTCGATTAATTGATTAATAATCAGACAGCTAAAGGTTCCTTAAAGACTTTTTACTAAATTAAAACAGGGAAAACGTTTTAGAGTCTCTACAGTACATTTAACAATTAGTCGTTTAGTAAATTAGTTGACGATTATTTCAATAATTGATTAATCACGATTATTCTGATTAATTGTATCAGCCCTTATAATAGTAAATATTAGTTATTTAATGAATTGTTTTGTACTATGAATGTACTTTAGCGGTACTTGGGTTGTACAAGGGATCCTTGCTAATATTTCTTTCCATACTTTCCAGTGTGGTCCTGTTTCTCTGACCGTGACTGAGTGGATGTGCTCTCTTCGTCCTCTGTCATCGGAGCTGGCTCGGAGCTCGTATGCCTGGCTGTGTGTTTCCTGGACGGGGTCGCCTTTTACAGCTGCTTTTTGTGTCTCTGCTTCTGTCTCCTTGAACCCCAGTCGGCCTCGACAGATGCCGCTCACACTGAGCCTGGTTCTGCTGGAGGTTTCTTCCTGTTAAAAGGGAGTTTTTCCTCTCCACTGTCGCTACAAGCATGCTTAGTGTGAGGGATTGTATTTGAGTCAATGAGTCAATGCAATCAACTGGTTTTCCTTAGATTAGAAAACTTTGTATCAGTTTGACTGTATGATCTGGTTGAACTGTAAAGTGCCTTGAGATGACATGTGTTGTGAATTTGGCGCTATATAAATAAACTGACTTGAATTGAATATTCCTAACAATGGCTTCAATGCTGCCAGAGAAATTTGAGAACCACTGTAAAGAGATTTGCCAACCATGTCATCCCAAAAATATCCTTACTTTGGCCTATCTAAGTACTTCTCCTGCTGTGATGCATGGGACCTTCCCAATTACCTTACAATCCTCTGGCATAGTGATTGACTTACCATCACAGACGCTGCGGTCCAGTAGCCAGCTGATAGCTGACAGCCGTTTCAGTACTCACCAATGCAACTCAGGTGATAGGAGGGTCTTTCTTAGACTTAACAGCCTTCACCCTTTAATCTCTGGTCTAAATACTTTCATAACTTTTAGAAGTCTTGGTCACTTTCTACCTTAAATATTTAGTCTGGACCAAGTTGGCAGAGCAAAATCAATATACAGTAAACATGATCTATGTTGATTGCATTTGCAAAGGTTCTACAGAAAATACCCAATAACAAATCAAACAGCATTTGGATGAGAGGCTTCGATGTCCAGACATTGCCTGTCTGTGTGCAAATGTTTTTGTATTTTGGAAATGTCATAGAGTGTTTGACATTTGGACTAAGAACTTTCCTAGTGACATTGGTGAAGACAGATTAATAAAGCTGGGAAGAGAAATGTCAGACTAATAAAAAACCTGCTGCATGTGGTCACGCCAGAGCTAAAGGTGTCAACCACTCCTTCCGGTCAATTCCCTCATCCTGATAGTACCAAATTTAGATTAACTGATATGTAAGCAGCAAACACAGCAATATATGAAGTTAATGTGTGTGTCTATGTATCTGTGCATACAGTAATTATAATAGAAAGTTTTGAGAAGTTTCATTGGAGTCTGTTTTTTTATTTGACTGCAATTATTGTCCTTTAAAAAGTGGATTTATGTTGCGCCATTTAAAGCTACAGTGTGTAATTTTCAGCAACATCTAATCGTCATACTGCAGACTGCAGCAATACAAAACACTTCCACCATTGCTTCTCACCTTCCAACAATGGTAGAAAATGGTTTCCACAACGTCTGCATCACATATATTCTGTCTTTCTCTGCATGGTTCTGCTTCTATGTGGGGATATTCATCTAATCCACTGATCTCTATTATTCACTGGATTGCTGAAAGCTCAGGAAAAAAAAAAGTCACCTGTCACCATCTTGGTCCTCCCCACTCTCACAGAGACACGGCATAAAAATGCCTAGGTGTGTAGCATTTGGCTGTACAAACAAACAGTTTGCTGGCTATGGGAGGATGTTTCACAGGTAATTTTTCAGTCAGTGGATGTACTAACCAAGAAAATCCATATATATGCCAATAGATCCTATAGTATAATATGTAGCATAACATTAGTCTGGCTATCTTGCACGACTAGAATACATTGACTGCGTTAGCCAGTGACATTGACAAAAATCAGGACTAACAGATGAATTTGCTTTTACAAGTCAAAGAAATAAATTT